AAGGGGCGGGGAAGAGAGGCTGAATTCCGTCGGAGATTTTCTGAGACAACTCGGTGAACGACTCGGTATCACCCTGAGGTTCAACGTGGTGTCGAGTGTGAGACTCGGCAATCTGAGTCGCGAGTCACTCGGGTGCGACCCGGACGAGCCACTCGCCGTGAACTTGGCCTTCAAGCTCTGCCGAGTCCCCGACGAGAGCGTGTGTACAGAGAACCCGAGGGACGAGCTCCTCCGGCGCGTGAAGGCACTCGCGCCGCGCGTGGTCACGCTCGTGGAGCAAGAGTTGAACGCCAACACGGCGCCGTTTTTGGCGCGCGTGAGCAAAGCGGGCGGTTACTACGGGGCTTTACTCGAGTCTGTCGAGTCAACCGTTCCGAGCTCTAACTCGGACCGAGTGATGGTAGAGGCAGGGCTGAGTCGTAAGCTAGTTAACGCGGTGGCTAGCGAGGGCGTTAACCGGATCGAGCGGTGTGAGGTGTTCGGAAAATGGAGGCTTCGGATGGGTATGGCCGGGTTCGAGTTGATGCCACTGAGTCAGACGATAGCAGAGTCGTTGCGGAGTCGACTCAGTAACGGAAACCGAGTCCATCCGGGCTTCACCGTTAAGGAAGATAACGGAGGGGTGAGTTTTGCTTGGATGGGTCGGACCCTCGCTGTCGCATCTACTTGGCGTTAACTTCACACACTCTTTACCTTTTCTATTATATTATTGTTATCTTAGTATTAATTTTGAGATTTTTATTATTGTAATTTCAGTTGCTAAGCCTATTAATTTGTTAACAAAGATTAAAAGAAATTTATATTTTTTTTTATATAAAAACAGGGTTGCTTGGCTTTTATAAATTCTGTAATATCTCAGTGATATCCACAAAGTTTTTGCAATAAGAGGATATTGAAATTAGGTATTGGAATATTTGCTGATGTGACCATCACAACTTCCATATGATACTTATGTAATTTTTTATCTATGCTTTTAATTATAAGATCGACTAATTACCACTCTGATTGATTCTGGTTATAGTTTTGAGGAAAAGGGTTGAAAATTATTTTAATAACTTTCTATTATACCCAAAAACATTTATTAAAAATCTAATATTTTTATGCGTTTTAAAATTATCGTTAGTTGGATATTTTATTGGGCTTTTTGATTTTTGGTGGACCAAAAATGGGAAGTTCCTAACCAGTTATAATAGGCTTTTAACAGGCCCGTATATATGTGTATATATATATATATATATTTGTATTTTTTATTTTTTTTATAAAATGTATTTTTTATTTTTGCGAGAAGAAAGCAGATTAGGGGGTGTAAAATAGGCGGGTCGGGCCGGGTTCAATTCGGGTCTAGAATTTTTCGGGTCGGGTCGGCCCGACCATTTATTTTTTGGGTCTAGGATCGATGGTCCGGAGCCCGGCCCTATAGGGTTTCGGACGGGTTCGGGCCGGGCTTCGGGGTTTTTTATCAAATAAAAATATTTTTTTTCTACATAATAATAATAATGTAAAATATTAAAAAAAGCAAACATAGTATAAAAAAGACAATTATATGATGTAATTAATTTGAAACATATAGAAAAAGAATCAATATATTCATATGTAAATAAAGGTTTAAAAATATATATATTTAAAAGTTTATACGTTTTCAAAAATATAAATTGATATATATATATATATATATATATATATATGATGTAATATGATTAAAAAACTAAAAGTTTTCGTCACTTTAAAAAGTGTTAATTGGATCCAAGATAAAGTTTCGTCATTTGGTTAAAAGATACACATATATAAATATAGAATATGTGTTTGTTTATGTGCATCGAAAAACAAAATCTAAACTAATAATAATATGAAACAAAACCAATATAGAGTGAAAAAAATATAAAACAAAAAAATTTAATCAAATAGCAAGTGTTAGATTTGATTTAGTAAAAAAATAATACAAAAAATGATTATCAAATGATGTAATATGGTTAAAAAAAAGTTAAGATAATCATAGAGAGGTAAAACTTTGGCTTAGAAAAAAGGGTTAGAAAAAAATTAATGGGCCGCAGCCCATTTAGCCCGAGGCTCAAAAGTCCGAAATTTAATGAGTCTATATTTTTTAGGTCTATATCCTTATTATTTTCGGAGAGGTTCGGGCCGGATTTCGGGCTCTGGACTTAATTGACATCTCTAGGTTAGATAAATTATTTGACAGACAATGCTCCCACGTTTTCCCGTGACTTTGCTCAAAATATCAAACTATGTCGCCTACGATAGAAGCATCGCATAAAAAAAATTCTGCGCATCCGGATTGTCGAATATTTCTATTAATAAGTTAAATCTAAATCAAATATAAAATATAAAATATAAAATATAAAAATAATAAAATAATACATGTACAATTCACATTTAAATATTTTTTTTTAATATAACTCAAACTTATAATTCAGTGTATATATATATATGAAAAAATAAAACTAAATAATAGTTTGTTATCCAAATTATCCAATCGTTACTCACCATGTGTATAAATTTTGATAAGGGATTATATGTGTATATACATATATATTCTCCCTCATTCACCACCAGGAGGCCCTCTCCGTGTCTGAAATCGCAATCAAATAATAAAAACCCAAATTCCCTCTACAGACAGAAAACAAAAAAACGAGGGTTGCATTCTACAGTAATTTTTGGAGAAATTGAGTGGTGGGATTGTTGAGGAGACGGTGGATTTGGTACGAATCGTTGGCTTTTCATCATCGGCCAAGTGCTAGAACGAATCTTTGAGCTTTTTGCTGTCAGATTCGGCTTCCCAGTTCAGATTAGGGTTAGAGTTAGGGTTTCTGGTGGTGAGAATCATGGCGGAGGTCGTTCTGCATATATACGATGTGACGAACAGCGGATCGGAGAAGACTAACAACACCATTGTTCAGATCAACAGAATCTTTAAGGACGGGATCGGTCTTGGAGGCATCTTCCACAGCGCCATTCAGGTACTCCTCCGCTCGGATTCTCTCCTGAATCTATGCTGGTTTTGTTTGCTTGCTTGACTTTTTTGTGTAAATGTACAATCTGACGGCTTTGATGTGTTCTCGAACTGGTTCTCTATCTAGGAAATGGATATGTTTTCTGAAGTTTTTAGGGTTTCTGGTGTTCGATCTGTATGATTTTTGGTCGCTCGTAGTTATTTATGGTTTATGTGCTTGTGGATTTCTGTAAGATCTGGAACTTCAGTTCCAGCGTTTTTTCTACGAACTATGGAAGTTTCTGATGGTGAAATTTGTGCGAGTCTCGTGCGCACTCGGGAAGACTTACTGCGATCAATAATTGCTGTTTACTTCCCAACATGATTCATCACTTCCATGGCAAGAAGAAAAGTAATTGTAAAGTCCACTTTTTTTCTGATGAATTTTAACGATTCGGCTTGTAAATCAGCAGAATTATGGTCCTTTAGTTGATGTTTCCAATGTTTTTTCTTGTATCATGAATATGAACTCGAATCAGAGTGGACCAATATGCAGTGAAGAGTAACTGGCTGTGTCCCTCTATGAATTTTCGCAGGTATATGGGGATGAAGAATGGTCTTTCGGGTTCTGTGAACAAGGAACTGGCGTATTCAGTTGTCCTAGCAGCAAGAATCCTATGTATTCGTATCGTGAAAAAATTGTCCTTGGGAGAACAGAGTGCTCAATCTTCATGGTAAACCAGATCTTACGTGAACTCAGCAGGGAATGGCCAGGACACTCTTATGATCTGTTGTCCAAAAATTGCAATCACTTTTGCGATGAATTCTGCGAGCGGCTCGGTGTGCAGAAGCTCCCAGGTGAGCCCATTGTCAGAGGGGTTTCATCATGGGAATGTATGCGTCTTCCAATGCTCGTATGATTGATCAGATTCTCTCGTTTCGGTTAACTCTTACAGGTTGGGTAAATCGGTTTGCCCATGCCGGTGATGCAGCGCTAGAAGTGGCAGGAAACACCGCTATGCGGGTGAGTGATCTTTCCACACTTTGGGGTGCCCGTATGTGTATATATATACATGCTAATAACCCGGGTCCTTAAATCTGTTTCAGTTAAGGCAAGCGAAAACTGAGATAGTTTCAGCTAGTAAAGTGGCTTACCGGTTCCTAGCGGGCGTAACTTCAAACGTAACCAATGGCTCTCCACAACAATCTCCAAGCAATTCAAACAGAGGGAACTCTAGATTTCAATCATCTTGGCTCAAAGGGCTCATCAGCGGGGCCAAATCCTCGACCAGTACGGATATCGAGAACAAGGGCGAGGATCCGATCCTCCATTCGCAGCAGCGGCCGGAGAAACAGAGCCATGGTTCTGATGCTCTGCTTCTTCATTGACGCTTTTTGTTTTGCTATTGGAATGGGTACAGAGCCATCGCGGTTTTAGCAAAATCTTCTTAATGGGTGTTTTGTTTTCTGAAAGTGTACATGTACTTGTTGAAAATTTCACACGTTACTTTAAGCTCTGAATTCGTTCGTATTCATATTACCCTTTGTACCGTTTCAGACATTTCTTCCGGCAGAATGTGTGATTTTGTTTTTTTTAACCCACAATGTTGAACCAAAGGGCTTGTCGTTTTGTTGCTTCTGAGTAATGGATTGCTGCATAGGTAGAGAGAATACGCAGCTGAACGGGATGGTTAATTCCTTCAATTTTTTGAGTTTTCAAAACATTATATCTGTTTCATTAAAACTTGACTTTGTTTTATAAAATTTCTTTGTATGAATATTCAATGTAAAGGTTAAATTTCCAAAACCAACTTTCAACAGTTCAGAATACAAACGATTTGATCGCAATATCGTAGACAGGGCTTTTCCCCCCTTATTCAGTTTCTGGATATCATTCGACCAAATAACCAAACCAAATACCACACCCGCATCTCAATCATATTATTATTTAAAATCAAATTAAGTAAAACTCAAAACAAATTATAAAAATATCCAAAAAAATCAAATAAAAACAAAATTTTCTTTTTGTTCAATAAACCAAATCTGATAAAAGAAAACTGCGAACATAACCGAAATCTGACAACAAAAAAAAAACCTCGATGGAATATATTTTTCTTAACACCAAACCAAAACATATAACAAAGTATCCATCCCCAGCATCCATTACCATTACCCCATGGTAATAAAGTCAAGATGAGCAAAAGGGTAATGATGTGAAACTTCTATCTCTGACCACGGCTTGACCCTCACTAGCTATGTTCATAGGATCTCTGCTCTACGTTAATTTTAACACAATTTGCATACATTTTCAAAAGTACGAGGGGGACTGTTTCATGTCAAGCAGTGTCGCTCGATGTAATTTTCTGGCCGTTTTCGTGCCGGTTTTAGCTTGATTTCGTAAAGTTTCGGCCATAGCTTCCCCGTTACTGCACCGTAAAAAAACGCCGCTTTAAAAGTTTACTATGGACAGGAATGACTATGAAAGTGATTCAACTGTGTTTCGACGAAGTTTACCAAAGAGGCGTTGCTTGTCGACGTCCCACGCTATGCCATTCAAGACATCAATGCCCTAAAAGCATGAAGGAAAACCCAGACCACAAATATTAAGTAAACGAGAGTAGAAAGTTTCCTCGACAAGAGAGAAAGGAGTACCGAGAGACATTGTTCTACTCTTCCCTCTTTGACGAGCGACAAGTGATGTAAAACTATTTGCCGCAAAAACTGGAAAATGTACAAGTAAAAATACTTACCCTGTATCCGGATTTCAACAATCCAAGCCTGTATATTGTACAAGAAAAAAAGGTCAGTGCCATTATAGGGTCGATGTGATCCATCCTAAAATGACATGTATGAGAGACAAAAACCTTAAGTTGGGAAGCAGTATCCATCCGAGAATTGATCCGTCTTTAGGGGAAATTCTTGCAATGCAATCAGTCTGCATGAAGAGAACTCATCAACATTAGGCCATTAGCTATAACCTGGGGACCATAAACTCATTTCTTCTGTCCCCATGCTGTATTTGAAAAGTAAGCAGATAACACAGTCAGTGAAGCAAAAACTGGCCAGACGGTGGTTTCCATCACAAAATTCTAAAACAAAAGCGGTAAAACATATCTCGAACAGTAAAAGAACAGGAGTTTATGCATCAAGGTTCTGTAACGGCCATCGTATCTAAAATCCGCCAGTGTATTATTATGTGTTTCAAGGATCATTCATTTTATAATACTTCCTCATCAAAATAACTAGAAGCATATAAGTATCAGCACCAGTAGGGAAATACCTGCCAGACGTTTGCCCAAACTTCTCTGTCAATATACTCGAGCTCATTAAGGTAACGCACCTCATGACCATTATATTTGACAGTATGCTTTTCAGTAACTTCATAAAAAGACGAATGACCTCAGCAAAATGCTAAATGTAAATCTTAGGACATAGAAAGATTACCTTAAACTGCTCAGGGGAGCAAAAACGCCTTTGGAAATGTATATGGGGTAAGGAACAAAAAGAGAGATGTTAAAAGGTAGTTTAGACTACTCACCTTTCAATGTTTTAGGGTCAATCCGATATAGGGTCGAAGTACCATCACTCCCAAACAGAACCTCCCCATCAGTAGCCAGTCCCCAACCATCTTCCATCTGATGTGTAAATGGCTTGACCTGCTCCAAGGGTAAAGGTAAAACTCTTTAAAAATCACTATGACAACAAATATTTTATTATATAGTTTCAACCAAAAAAAAAATTTTATTATATAGTCGGAACACTGTGGGCACAAATTACTTAATTACAGTCCTGTCAAGATTGATACAGCTGAGCTACCAGATCGGTATCTATCTATATCTTCTGTCTGAGATATGAAGGTCTTCCCGCTAAATAGCATGAAACAGAATGCAACTTCAACTCTGTGCAAAGAACTCGATTCAACTATCACAATAAGCTATATACAACCAGCCAAATAATTTCGATGACTACTATTAAATTGATTATCCTTGCCATATGAACAGCTGACAAACAAATCCTCACAAGTCCCAAATAAAAGATTATGTACGAAAAGGGTATGATGAGCACAAACTTTGCTTAAATTGTGCACGTCGTATATGAAACCAGTTTTCGTCAACCAAGCGACTTGAAAGAGCCTACAACAAAAAGAAACCAGCGTGTCAGCATATCAGTGCTAAACAGATTCTCAGTAGACCTCAACTACACAAAAGACAAATAGATTCTAACAAGTACGTGATCAATCCAACAAGCATTCCCCCTCCCAGGGCATTTCTCTGTAGATTTACTATCTTTCCCTTAAAATCAAATTAAGTAAAACTCAAAACAAATTATAAAAATATCCAAAAAAATCAAATAAAAACAAAATTTTCTTTTTGTTCAATAAACCAAATCTGATAAAAGAAAACTGCGAACATAACCGAAATCTGACAACAAAAAAAAAACCTCGATGGAATATATTTTTCTTAACACCAAACCAAAACATATAACAAAGTATCCATCCCCAGCATCCATTACCATTACCCCATGGTAATAAAGTCAAGATGAGCAAAAGGGTAATGATGTGAAACTTCTATCTCTGACCACGGCTTGACCCTCACTAGCTATGTTCATAGGATCTCTGCTCTACGTTAATTTTAACACAATTTGCATACATTTTCAAAAGTACGAGGGGGACTGTTTCATGTCAAGCAGTGTCGCTCGATGTAATTTTCTGGCCGTTTTCGTGCCGGTTTTAGCTTGATTTCGTAAAGTTTCGGCCATAGCTTCCCCGTTACTGCACCGTAAAAAAACGCCGCTTTAAAAGTTTACTATGGACAGGAATGACTATAGAGTTAGACCTTCCCCAAAGTATGAATCACCCATCTTTTGAAGAATTTCAACCTACACAAACCGAAAATAGAACTAAGTTTCTTTTGGGCATAAGGTTTAACACATGCTTAGGAATCTATTTATTTCAATCAAGCTGGTACGCCATGAATTCTGTAAAACCAATCACACAAAGGAAACCATCCTTCAAACTTAGGCACATTGAACAACGCGACATCACATATCTAATTCAACCACTACCATAATTCACAATTCACCTCCAAACTCAATATGCCACTAACCCAGAAGCCAATACATATGCTTTAATCACCCAAATTAACTATCATAACAAAAACTCTGCCAATTAACTATCAGATCCAACACTGAGAGATAAACAAGATCGCTAGTTTGCTGGTTTCATCAAGAGCATGCGATCAAACCGTACATACCTTTCCTGTTCGTAGATCCACTTTCCTCACCGACGACTATGAAGAATGAAAAGATATGGTTGGTCAAAATCGAGCAAAAATTTAAGGAAGAAAAAGCAAACAGCTTATCAGGAGAGAAATGATTGCAATTCTCTCGAAGAATGATACAATTCATCCCGTTTTCAGAAGTCGAATCACCTTCCCGTAAATACCAGTTGACTCAAATAGCGTGTCGTCTCCCGCATAGAGAAGCCCCTGCAAGAACAAAACAACAGTTAGATCGGTTGGAATTTTCAAAAATGGGACGACAATTAACTCCGAGAATCCGGCGAGAACTAGACCTGAGTGAACGCGTCAGGGTCATGAGGAAACTCCGCGACTACTTCAATTTCATGGGCAGTGCGAGAGAGATCCATCAAAGCAGAATACTCATCCAAGCTCTTCGATGGCATGGAGAAGAGGAAAACGGCACCGGAGAAGAGAACAAGAGGAACCATCATCGAGATCCTCCGGTCGACGAATCGCCGACGAGGAGGAGGAGCAGCAGGAGATTCAGCAAACTGAGCCATCATCGATCGCTTCGCTTGCCTCTTCTTAAGCGATCTTGTCGGCATTAACACACCTTCTCGGCCGTGTCGCCGCCGTGGCCTCGTCGTCTTTGGCCACGCGGTTGGTGAAATTGGCACAAATGAGAATGTCTGTTACCGTAAATCGTCAAAGTCAGAGACTCGGATTAGCCACGTAAGCGCGACTTTTCAAACCACGAGGCCTAATGGAAATAATGGGCCTAAGGCCCATTAATATTGGGCCTAATGAAGAAATTGATGGGTCCTATTAGCTTTTTATTATATTATTTTTGTACGTACAAAACGATGACGTTTCATAGAATAGTCCAGGACCTTTTGTTTGTTCCCTCGCATTTCAAAGGAGGGGACTAGAACAGTCTTTCCCTCTCTATAAATGCACCTTCTTCGCTCTTCCTTCTCTCTTCCTTCTTCCTCAGATTATTCTCTTGAACGTTTATACGCTGAAATTTCTCTCAATTTCTCGTTGTTTCTCGTGCATTCTGAAGAGGATCGTCAATGGCGGAAGTGCAGATGGCTGACGCAGAGACCTTCGCGTTCCAGGCGGAGATTAACCAGCTTCTCAGCTTGATCATCAATACTTTCTACAGCAACAAAGAGATCTTCCTCCGTGAGCTCATCAGTAACTCTTCCGAACTGGCGTATTCAGTTGTCCTAGCAGCAAGAATCCTATGTATTCGTATCGTGAAAAAATTGTCCTTGGGAGAACAGAGTGCTCAATCTTCGCATTCGGTTTTGATTTTCGTTTGTGGTGTTATACTTTGGTTTGAAGATTTGCATCCTTGAATCTGATTTTTTTTGCTTGGCAAACGCTTCTTGTCATTAAGTTTATGACTTGTGCCTCAAGTAAATGTGGGTGTAGACATCTGTGTTAGCCTAATCGGATATTAGGACCAGACTATATTGTTCGAGTAGTTCGTGATCAGAATTTGGTCAGATTCGTACCATCTTGGAAATCTTCGGATTTTAACAAGCGTGTGGCCCTCTATAGGCTCTTGACAAGATTCGATTTGAGAGCTTAACCGACAAGAGCAAGCTTGATGCTCAACCCGAGCTTTTCATCAGGCTTGTGCCTGACAAGAAGAACAAGACCTTGTCCATGTGATGCAGCTTATTCGATCTTAACCTTATTTGGTAGTTTGTGTCATTTTCTTGGTGTAGAAAAATAAAATACGGAAATTAAATTAGAAAAAAAGAACAAAAGATAAAAGAACTAAAGTAGTCTGTCGTGTACAACCTCAAATTTGGTGAACAACTTGTGAACTATTGCGAGGTCTGTAACCAAGGAGTTCATGGAGGCGCTCCAGGCTGGGGCTGATGTCAGTATGATTGGTCAATTCGGTGTTGGTTTCTACTCCGCTTACCTTGTCGTGGAAAAGGTTGTCGTTACCACGAAGCACAACGATGACGAGTAGTATGTCTGGGAGTCTCAGGCTGGTGGTTCTTTCACTGTTACGAGGGATGTTAACGGCGAACCACTCGGCAGAGGGACTAAGATCACACTCTTCCTAAAGGAGGACCAGGTACAACATATAAACCAGATTGGATGTGTAGGAATTGGGATGTTATCTGTCGAGGAATTTGATGTGTTCATGATTTTGGCAGCTTGAATACTTGGAGGAGAGGAGGATCAAGGACCTAGTGAAGAAGCATTCTGAGTTCATCAGTAATCCCATCTACCTATGGACTGAGAAAACCACCAAGAAGGAGATCAGTGACGATGAGGATGATGAACCGAAGAAGGAGAATGAAGGCGACGTCGAGGAAATCGAAGAGGAGAAAGAGAGTAACAAGAAGAAGAAGATCGAGGAAGTCTCTCATGAATGGCAACTCATCAACAAGCAGAAGCCGATCTGGTTGAGGAAACCAGAAGAGATCACAAAGGAGGAGTATGCGTCCTTCTACAAGAGCTTGACCAACGACTGGGAAGATCACCTCGCCGTCAAGCATTTCTTCGTGGTGGGTCAGCTCGAGTTCAAGGCCATTCTGTTCGTCCCTAAGAGGGCACCCTTTGATCTTTTTGACACGAGGAAGAAGTTGAACAACATCAAGTTATACGTCACGAGGGTGTTCATTATGGACAACTGCGAGGAACTGATTCCTGAATACCTCAGCTTTGTGAAGGTCGACTCCGATGAGATGCCGCTCAACATCTCTCGTGCAGCACATCTCTCGTGAGATGCTGCGACAGAACAAGATCCTCAAGGTGATTAGGAAGAACCTTGTGAAGAAATGCATAGAGATGTTCAACGAGATAGCCGAAAACAAAGAGGATTACAACAAATTCTACGACGCTTTCTCCAAGAATCTGAAACTGGGTATCCACGAAGACAGCCAGAACAGGGCAAAGCTAGCTGAACTTCTCCGATACCACTCCACAAAGAGCGGCGATGAAATGACAAGCCTGAAAGATTACATCACGAGAATGAAGGAACGCCAAAAAGATATCTACTACATCACGGGCGAAAGCAAGAAGGCAGTGGAAAACTCGCCATTCTTGGAGAAGCTCAAGAAGAAAGGATACGAAGTCCTCTTCATGGTGGATGCCATTGATGAACATGCGGTGGGACAGTTAAAGGAATATGATGGTAAGAAACTCGTCTCGGCCACAAAAGAAGGACTGAAACTCGACGATGAGGATGAACAAGAAAAGAAAAAGAAGGAAGAGAAGAAGAAATCATTCGAGAATCTATACAAGACGATGAAGGAAATACTCGGGGACAAGGTCGAAAAGGTTGTCGTATCGGACAGGATAGTGGACAGGATAGCGGAATCACCTTGCTGTCTGGTGATAGGGGAATACGGATGGACGGCGAACATGGAGAGAATCATGAAAGCTCAGGCGCTGACAGCAGCATGAGCTCTTACATGTCGAGCAAGAAGACGATGGAGATAAACCCGGAGAACGGAATAATGGAAGAGCTGAGGAAGAGGGCGGAGGCCGACAAGCACGATAAGGCCGTGAAGGATTTGGTCATGCTGCTGTTCGAGACAGCGCATTCAACCTCGACGACCCGAACACGTTTGCAGCGAGGATCCATAGGATGCTGAAACTCGGGCTGAGTATAGAGGAAGATGAAAACGGAGGGGATGAAGCTACTGAAATGCCTGCCTTGGAGGAGGATGGGGATGGGGAGAGTAAGATGGAAGAGGTCGTCTGAGTAACTGTTGCGATCAACTCATAGATAGAGATAAGAGATTTGCTGCTGTTTTAAGTGTTGTGTTAAAGCGTCTGTCTGTTTTTGTCTCGTCGCGTTAGTTGGAGGCTCAAACTGTGAAATCGAAGATGTGAATGTCGAGAGAAAGTACCGATTTCCGATTCTAAATTAATAAAAATGGAACCAAACCAATAAAAATTTAATTTAATGTAAAAATCGAAATAAAAGAGTGGTAAATGCACCCTAATAATATGATAAGTCCATTGAAGACATTAATTTTAACCTAAACAAAAACATGGTAAATGCGAAAGCAATCCATTTCAAAGTGACTTGGCGAAGAAGACATAATACCGTCTTTGTGATAGATAGCAATGAGGGAGAAAGGTACAAAAACCAAAACTGGAACTAACTGTGAGATAAAGACAGTCTTGACATGAAACACCAAAATGCTCTCTCCTTCTTCTTCAAGGGAAACCTGAACCAGACGGAGCTCCGGCGCTGTAACCACCAGCACCACGGCCAAAGCCAGGCCTGCTTCCACCGGTACCCTACACAGTCCGACCCCACGGTTTCTTATATTAGCCAACTGGTAATCTTCAGGGGAACTAGTGTGCGTGAAAAATCAACAAGGGCTGTTCAAACGAGAGATTACCCGGAAAGACGGTTGGAAATCTGCAGGGGCACCTCCCTTTTCTCCTCCAAAATCACCGCCACGAGGCCCTCCACGGTATCCATCACGGTCACCAAATCTAGGACGGTCTCCTTCAAACCGTGGTGGTCCCCTACAGCACACAGAAAACGCAAAACAAAACATGTCATTGAAGCACAGATTTAGGGTTTAGAAATCAAGCAAGCAGAACACAAAGAAAGATGTATAAACTACCTCGGGCGGTCACCAGGTGGGCCACCAAAGGGACGGCCAGCAGGTTTAGCAGACTTCTTCAATGTGGCGGGAACAACATCCGATGGAAGATTAAGATAAGTTCTCAAGAACTCAATCCCTTCGTTGGTCAAGTACCAATAGTAATGCATCCATGCGAATGTCTCCCGAACGTATTCCTTGGATTTGAAGCTCTGCATAAGTTTGATCACTTGCAGATTGGGGACATCGATCAACGGATGCTTAGCAAGGTTGAAATCTTTCTTCGCATAGCAAACTCCCTCTGCAAAATCAAAGGATCGCATCCATTAACATGAATCCATATTCCATTGAATTCAGAACACAAGATCGATACCATAAATCCAAAAGGATGACTAAAATCCTTGCCCCGACAAAAGCAGAAACCCAGATCACCAATCTGAGTAACTGCCTACCTGATCATCGTACTAGAACTCCGAAAACTCGACATAAACCAGAATGTCTCTCAAGCCTACACCCATCGTTCAAAATTTCTAAATTTCCTTTCCTCATAATCTTTTAGCCCCATGGGTTCCAACTCAGTCCTAATCCGATAGCCTAACTCGATAACATCAGCACAATTTCATATCGCCTCAAGAAAAACCCAGATATTCAGTTTAGCTTTCCACAACATCAATGCATACGCAGAAGCCGAAACAATCAAAATCCAAATACCCAACAAAACATAAAAATACGAAAAGCACGAACCTTTGAAAAGGTATTTGCAGATCTCTTTGCGGTTGTTCTCGGGGATAATCTGACCAAACAACCGACAAAAAACATCATTCAACCTCCAGAAAGAGACACCAACCTCGCCGAACAGAAACCCAGAAAAACATTGTAAACAAACAAAGCAGAGTATCGCAGACAAAGTACCATCGTTGCCGGTGAGAAAGCTCTTCCTCTAAGCGGAAGCTGCAGCAGAGACGCAGACAACGAGTTGAGAGCAAACTAGGGTTTCCGAAGAAACAGAGCAGAAGATTATTATATATATGAGATTGGGCTTTAATAGGCCTTCATATTGGGCCTTACCGGAATCTCAATGGACTTTTCGAATAGATTAATCCCATTTACGGAAATATTTTAAAGATATTTCAAATATTCTGAATATATGGGGAAAAAGCCGTGATAGAAACTCGAAACTTAAGAAGCATTAGAGAATCCAGAAACAAGTGTTCAAAGAAGAATCGCTATGATTATTGATTATGAGTAGGGGCCGACCGATCCGAATCCGTACTCAGACTGAGTTTCGGTTTCGAGTTCGGGTTTACCCGGATTTTCGTAGGCCTCTGAAACCAAACCCGAAAAAATTGACGCCCCTAATTTTTTTACTAATGTAAAAAAAAAAAAAACTACTGCAATATACTCCCATTTCAATAACAATAACAATCACAGTGCTTACTTACATACATTCACAGTATCAGTGTCAGCTAGGGAGAAACGGGATACTGTGCTCTTCATCTTAATCCTCTGGCGTCCCAATAAGTCACTCACTACATAAAACATATAAGCTCAGACTGTACATGTTCAGACAATAACCTTCAGAAATTTTGTCCTTTTTTTTCTGGGTATTAGCTGAAAACACTGTACATAATATATTCCAACACCAAATACATAATATAAGTTTATATATATATGTATATACATATCCTCGACCGCCCATGTCGCCGGACTGTCTTCCTATGTACACCAAAAAAACACCAGAGCTGCGGAAAACAGCACTCCCGGGGATGTAATAAATATCATATTTGCCACTCTTAAAAGTTCCTTCCGTCACCTGGCGTGTGTGTGTCTACCGAGACTCCAGATGGGTGAGAAGGAGGGAAAAACGACGAACAAGAAGCAAAATCAAGTTGAGATCTCGGGTTTTTCTTTATTCAGGGTTTTACTTGTTCCACCCCCAGGATCAGTTGTCTCCGAGCCAATGTCATAGCACGAAAGCAGCTGTCTCTGACATCCATCACAGAGAAAATAAAAGAATCGTATTTCGTTAGATACATCGACAACTGCACAGAACCAACAAACTAATTGTGATTAGCTGCAAGAGAAGATACTTACATGATCCTCAAAATCGGGGCTAGCGAGATTAATTGATAGATTCCTCATTAGCAGCATCACCTGCATTGCGATGCAAAACAAACAAACAAACAACATTATCATGGCTACATATTCAGAGGGTACAGTGAGTTTACCAATGGAGTAAAATGAATGGCACGGGTATCATACCGTTTCCACATCTATGGGGTCCATCTTTTTCAGCTTCTGCAGATGGTCGGTAGCATATGGGTCGAAAACACTGCCGATGAAGCTGTAAACTTGGGCAAAGTCTGGTAAAACTGATAAATGAAAAAGGACACTGTCAGGTAAAAAATGGTAAAAATAGTAAAGATGAGATGAAAGAGGAGAATATCAACAATGCCCACCTCTTAATGAATGGCCATGGTTGCCCGGTTCACTCGTGTTCCTGTTGGGTCTTGTTCTAGGAGTATTTTCGGAGCTGCTAGAACAGTTGTTAGTCTGTACTGCCCCTGCTGTATCCACCAAAACACAGAAGAAAATGTACTTCATTTGGTAAGATTCAAAGAAACCTTGTCCACTGAATGATATAAATAGTAACGGCCTCATGCATATTAAGGAGAAGAGCACCTTTCTGCTGGAGAGGTGAAAAGCTAATGGTTTGCACGTTATTTGTCCATGGAGGTGCACCAGCAAAGTTCCCTGAATTCATCATCATTGAAGAAGACTCATGACTAAACACGTAACCCGGTTCACTTGGTGCAGATGATGATTTGAAGGACCCTGAAGCCTGAGGTTGTGCTGCACATGCCAATCAAATATCAATATAATATCCACAAGTCTACAATGCCATAACATGATTTGCAGGAGTTGATCCACACCGTTTTTGGGAGCCTTCTGTGGATATGGATGAGCAGCTTTCCTCTTAGGTCGAGGGGGAGGGAGATGTTCACCAGTTCCACTCTTTTGTACTTTTAGAAAGTACTTCTGTGCATGGCTTCTTATCTGCAAAATTTTAAAAAATATGTGAAAAACAACTTTGGAATTGGAATTCCACATTTTTTTTGTTCCTCTACCAAAATGCCACCCTCTAATGTGGTTGAATATTATATTCGATCAAGTTTTTTGGGTAATCTGTCACGAAAACAAGAACCGCCCTCACTTCTAATGAATCAACACAGTTTCAGATAAAGGATTTAAATAGATACATTCGTACAGATATCAAAGGAGGGGAGACAACCCTAATCTACAGAAACATTGAGGGCCCAAAGGAAAGAAAACAGAAGGAACAAACAGCCCCGACAGACAAAAAGGTGTGACCTCATAGACAGTCCTAAAACTCAAAGGTGATAAGCACTAAACATGAGATATCTAGCAATCCTAAAATAGTTTGTGTTTCAATGCACCTGTATCACTGTCTTTGACCCAATAAAAGCTTCAATCTTCTTCCAGTCTCTGTCAAACCTAAAAGGATAGAGCAGAAGTGTGAACATTACCAAACCAAATGTCAAAGAATTAGAGATATGATGCATATAATCCTCGTCTTAGCGAAATCAAAACAGTGCACACGGCATTAAGCAAGAAACAACATCAATCTTGGTTGAAAACGAACCATAAACAGTCTCAACTAGAAATTCCTTCACACATCCTCAGAGGTTTAAAGTTCCCAACTCATGTTTGCAACATAGAATCTTATCTAGAGATAAAAGAATCTCAACAAGTCTTTCATGGCACCTTCAATTCCTATGAATTATTTCCACTCCTTACTTTCTCGGACCAAATCCACGAGAGCACTAACTTTCTCATTACATTATTCAGGTGGACAACAAAAATGAGAGCGGAACGAAATTCAAATCACAGGAAATCACAAACCCTAATCGAAACTTCAATACCATCCACCGAATTTCAATTCCATCTTCATCGTATCGAATTCCGAATCGCTCTGACTCGTAATCTCACCGAACACAGGATTGTTCTTACTCATCTAAAAAAACCCTAATCCAGCAAAATTACAAGCAAACTGCTCGATCGAAGCTCTAAGGAAACTAAAATCGAAAGCTTGCAGACATTAACAAAAAATGGTGGAGAACAGTTTGACTCACAACTGAAGAGCTTCGAGGAATTTGTCGTGCTCCGGCTCGGTCCAGCTCTCTCGGGACTTGGTGATGGTGTAGGGCTTCCTAACCTTCTTGCTTGGATCCTCCCACGATGATTCCGTCGCCGTCGCCGTCGCCGTCGCCGTCGAAGCTGCCGCGACCACGGCGGAGGAGGAGGGGGTTGCGTCGACAGTTCCGCCGGAGAAGGGGGCAAGGCCGGGCAAAGTCATACCGGTGGGATCCAAGTAGAAGCCGTCTCCAGGGTTCGGGTTTCTAGAAACCATGAAAGCTGCAGAAGAAATTTGGGATCTTCGGCTTTGGTGGGTTCGTTATGAGCCTCTGAGAACAGACATTGAAATGGAGCTTCGCAGCAGAGATTAGATATATGTATATATCTATACATACATATAATCTATGTGTATATACTATATAGGCTTTGCTTAGTCTTAGCTGATAGCTAATGGCATTGTGACACGTATTTTTACATTTTAGGAAAAATTAAAAAAAATCGATTTTTTTTTGCTAACATGTAGACCAAAAAGCCTAATAGTCAGTCCAATTTTATATTTAATAATTAAACCGATGAAATGTAAGACAAAAAAATAAAGGTTCTATAAAATTTATTTATAAAAAAAACGCAAAAACAGCCTCTATAAAGCAAATGCTGCAATCTCTATACAATTTAAAGCTCAATTCAACAGTAAAAAAATATATGGAGCATTGTCTATTAGAAAACTCCTATAAATTTATAAAATATTAAAAAAATGATTAAAGCATAAAAGGAATCTATTGAATTCTCTAAGAAACAAAAATATTGAAGTTAATTTCTTCATTTTATTTACATATACTTTTTTAATATAGATGGAAAAAACACAAACGAAAAAAGAAACAATAATTAAATTGGTCGAAGATCAACAAGGTTACTGTAAATCAACCAACCCAAGTGTATAATTAAATTAAATTAGTATTTGTTGGTTTATTTATTAATACTCAGGAGTGTTTTTAAAAACAAAATGATCAAAGGTATTATTTATATGTTTTTCAGTAAATTGTGAATTTCATGGTAGAAAAGAAATGAATGACCTTATCGTATATCTCAGTATTATATATATATATATATTTCATATTGTATACGATAGATTTATTTAACACATCTACAGCTACAACGTTGTTGGCGAATCAAATGATGCCAAAGAGGACACGTGGCGGAAATCCGGGACACTTCAACAAGATGGACGGTCCTACGGGCTCGTTGGGTGATGAACAGTAACCACACGATTCTGTGATGAGAAATAAAAGCATCGAGATATTTATGCGTGGCCCACTTTGCTTCTCCTTTTTTGTTCTGAGATATTCTTTTTTCTCTTACCTTTTTTTTTGAATTGATTTCCAACTGCATGCCATTTTAGTGAAGGACCTCTGACCTGCTTGCCATCTCATGTGACCTTGCTGTCCTGTTGTGGATGCGCACACAAGTTGAACATCAACGTGCCAAAAAGTGGTACTGGACACCGGATTGAATGGGACACCGATTTGATCTTAAATTTTTTTTTTAGAGTATTTAATTAGTTTCATATTTAACCTTTTTTTAATATCAAAAATTTGAAATTTAATGTTGTCTATGTAAAATTTCAAATAAGCTGAAGTCGGGATATTCGTGATATAGTTCGAATTAAAATTCAGTAAAAAAAGATTAAAGGTACATTCATAATCTTAAGTAATATATGAATATGTTTTTATAATTATATCCAAATTATAAGATTACTAAATCCGATTCAATATATAAGTAATCTCAAAACAGAGGAGTAATTATAACAATCTGTCCAAAAGATTTTCGAATTTTAATTGATAGCTAATGTCACATGCGGAGGTGTACCAAAACTCTCCTGGACCATATATAACGTGACACGGACACACAAGCCCACGTGGTACGATCATATGATATTAATGTACAAAGTATAATTGGTTCCATTCGTTTCTAAACGCAATTTTAGAACATACAATTTTTACGTTACAAAAAAAAAATGATTAAAAAAATTATTTTAGAAACATAAATATATTTTTTATTGAAAACCGAGTTCCAACATGATAATAATCAATAGAAACTGCATGAACATATTTTTTTCATATAATCAAGATGATGGACCGTTTCAGATATCCATGGGACATTATGGAAACAGAGAAATAATACTACTAATTGTTTTCAGATTGATTTGAATTCGGTTTATGGATGAAGCCCAATGGGCTTATATGTTTGTGTCATTGGGTTGGGCCTGGACCCGACCCGGTCATACATCGGGCTCGGAGTCTTTGAGGTGAGCTTCGTCAACACCTTCTAGTTCTTCCACAAAGAAGAGGGCCCACAAGTTGAACCAAGACTTTGGCAGTTTCCGTCGTTGACTCGTTTACTTGGCTCTTAGAATGTTTTGGTTATTCGTTTAATATATTTTAAAAAAACTATATCAGATCAAATTTTAAATCTTTTTATTTTATTTTATGAGTAATCGATTCGTAATCTAACACATGAACTTGAGTTGTATACCTAAAAACACCCTCATAGGTTAATTTTGATAATAGAATCTATTAAAACATACATTATTCTATTTTAATTCGCCCCCAAGGGTGTGAAAATGAATGTTAAAAGAGTAATTAATTTAAACGAAGAATAACGGGGCACGGTTTGTTTAAAGTCTACGTGGAAGCCGTGTTGTTTTGGAAGTGAAGAGTTCATGTGGGTCGGTCCAATTTGTGTTATAACAATAAATAACGACTTCCCTAAAAGTATTTACATCTTTTTTCTTATTTTATTTCAACCCACTTCGTATATATGACCAATTAATTGAAAGGTCCGATATCGATGACCCTAACCACATTCTCATCTCTCTCTCTCTACCGATCGAACATGCAGGTTTGTTCTCTCTCTCCTTGTTATGTTTTTTTTTTTTATAAATCGTATGTCTTGAACCGAAATTTAGATTAATTTTGAAAACGAAAACAAGTTATGTGATTGAAATTATACTCTCTTCTCTAACTTGGAGCTCGACGCTTTGCATTCTCATTTCACCAATTGAACTATTCAAATTGGATTATCTCCTTGTTATTTTTTATTCGATTGGTAAAAAAAATAAAATTTTCATGAAATAGAGTGGATGGTTTGGTTTGGTTTGATTTGTATATTTCTTACTTTATTTTAGATATTTCTGATTGGTTAGGATTAATAATAGTTATTCATTTTTTATAATTCGTTTTCCATGTAAGGAATTTGGTTATTTGATAAAAAAAAAAGATTGATTAAGTTCAGTTTTATTCTTTGATTTGCAAAATTTATATATAAAACCCTAAAGTTCGAGTATTATTTACCATTGATTTTGATTTGTGGTTATTTACAGAAAGCCGTATTGATATTAAGCATTCGTGACGAAAGGGTTCGAAAGAAAGTACTTGTGACCACCTCCGGTTTTCCGGGTATTTTTAAATAATAATAATAATAATAATTTGTATAATCTGTTTTTAGCATAATTCAACTATTAACCGATGTTTATGATT